TTTTAACGATAAAAATAAACCAAGAACATCCTCTTTTTGCTGTGTTTAGATGTCAAACCACTACTAATTTTGCTCCGTAAATAACAAAGGACATTTTGGTTATTTTATCTACAAATTTCAGAAGATTTCTAAAATATATTTTAACATATTTGATATGATTCTAAGCTATAAATAAAATTTTAAATTCATTTGAATCTTTTCATCGATTAAAAATTTGATTTACCAATTTTACTCTTTTTATTTATTATTAATTTTTATGAGAAGTAAAGATATTACTTCATGTTAAAACTCATAACTTAAAGAAATAAAATAATAAATGTTGATCAGAGAGAATTTAAGAAGTGAGAGAGAAAATATTCTCATAATCTTTAATAGAAACAAACAAAGTAAAAATAATTTAATATTTTCTAAAACTATAAGGTGCCTTATAAAAAAGAAATCAAGAATTTTTTTATAAGCTATGTCTTAAAATAAGAATCACATGGAGTTTGAAAAATTGACATAAGCCACAATAACTAATACATGACAATAAAAAAGGAGTTTGAAAAATTGACATAAGCCACAATGGCTAATTCATGACAATAAAAAAAGGAGGAGGATAGAAAGTTGAAACATAATTAAAATTCATCATTGAAAATGAATTTTTCATTCGTGAGTTTAGTAAATATACAAATTAATTTATATTCTAAGATTTCATATACTATAATAGATGTGAATCGCTAAAGTAAATTGTTTTCGTAAGTATCATCCCACAACGACTACAATTTAAAGTTTTTACATGTAGATTAAGGAATAACAATAAATGTATAACCTTTTTATATAATTTTATAAAAAAAAATAGTCTACACTTTTAATATATATATTATTTTAAATTATGGTGGTTGAATAATTTATGAAAAAATAAATTAAAAAATAATTAATTTCATTAAAAAATGAAAACACAATTTATTTTAAAGTATTTTTGAAATTTTAAAATCTTCATAATTATGGAATAGTGGGAGTAGAAAGTAGGAAGAAGAGGTAGCCAATGACGTGATGACGTAGAATTTTGTTTTTCAATTCATAGTGTAAGAGATTAATACCATTAGAGACAAATGATAAGAAATTTAAAATTTATAGATTAATACCATTTTGTATTAAAAAAAATTATACTGAAACCAAACAAAATTATTGACTAGAATTTGACTAGGGTAAGACCAGTAAATTGTGATTGGATGGCTAACTCATTTTTAAAAGAAAATATTATTTCTAACTTATATCAATTAATTTATTAAAATAAATATACTCCCAACAAATTTATTGAATGCTAACTCGTTCTTTATCTAAACATTTCTTAAATATATACTTCATATTAATTCAACCTTTGTAAAAACATAGTGTAAGGACATTCATAATATTCTTGTATCTTATTTTATTTTATTTAATCTCATATTTGCATATCATATTTAAACAACTAACTAGCAACTCTACATTTTAACTTCAATAGTAAAATTTTAAGCATTTTTTACTAATTGTTTTTATATGATTTAGTTTTTTTTCCCTCTTCTCAATTTGATGGTGTAAAGACAATATTTGGTCATAAACTATTATATCTTATATAAGATACAAAATTTAAATTTAAGATAACCTTTTTTTTATTATGTAAAGCAATTATAACAACCAAAAAAAAAGTAAAATACAATTACTTAAATATAAAATACTCATCAGTTATTATCGTTGTGAATGCTCTATATAATATCAAACTATAGTAAAAATTAGGCTAAAAGTCTAATTTAGTCCCTTATAATATTTTAAGTTTCAATTTAGTCCTACTTAAATTTTTAGTTTCAATTTAGTTTCAAATGTCAAAAATGCTTGCAACGCTTGCCTTTCGTCTAAATTTCTCACACGGTGTTTAGGAATGTCCAACATGGAAAATAATTAAATGTTTCATTATTTAGTGAAATTTCAACGTGCAGTAACCCCTTCCTTTCCCAAAGTCACTATGAGTCACGTGAGAGAAGAATTGTTCATCGTGAGTCACCAACGTTGTTGTTAGGTCTTGGAAGAAGAGAAGTCGCGTTCGTGAGTCGCTCTTAAAGGCGCATTCGTGAAGAAGAAGAATCGTTCATGGTGAGTCACTCCTAAGGGCGCATTTGTGAAAAAGAAGAAGTCATGTTTGGGTCCTGTTCACATCGAGTAAGTGTTGAGTTTAGGGTTTGGAATTGTGTAGGATCGAAAATGGGTTTTTTAATAAAGGGTTTTTTGTTGTAGTGTTTGATTTTGCTTTTTGTGTGGTCCCAAACAATGGGTTGTTGGCATTTTGTGGTGTCTAATTTTGCATATGTTGGCACATATAGATGCATATGTTGACCCATTGATACAGTGATACATTGATCTTAATTTATTTGCATATGTTGGCCCACTAATCTTCCTTTTTTTATTATGTTAGCCCATTAGTGTGTCGGTTGTTATGTATGCATATATTAATTGTGTTCCTATTAATTTTTAATTAATTATTTTTCTATAATTGCAAATATACATTACAATATGTTAATATTAAAATATGTGTTTTGGATTTTTATAGGAGTTGTTTGACATGGATGAGTATATTGAAATAGTTATCCATCATAGGGGAAGTTTGTTAATAGAGGGAAAGAAAACAACAACGACATCTCAGCCAAAGAAGAATTTTAGGGAGAAGTTGAAGCCTATGTGTTAGTTTTATTTTGAAATAGATAGTATTTCATGTTTAGAGTTAATTGATGTAATTTCCTTTTATGACAGTATTGTGTATGACAATTTTAAGTGTTACTTATATGACATTATTGAAGTTTATCTATTATTTAAGACATTACTACTAAGTATTATGTATGACAGTGATTATGTATGAGAGTGACTGCTTCTACATGAACTAAACCCTAAACTGCTAAGTAAAAGTGCAAGAATCACTTCAATAAAAATCATAAACTATGTCAGGTCAAAAATCTACTAATTAAAAGGAAGAGAATCACGCCCGTGATTCCCACGTCATGAAGTAACTCATTATAATACTTAGAGGGGAGTGTAAGAATCACGCTCGTGATTCCTATGGGGTGATAACTGCATAATTGTAAAATGAATTGAGAGAATCACACCCGTGATTCCCGATCACGCCCATGATTCTCACGACGTGACTGACTACAATAATCTGCTATGAAGGGACGCGAGAATCACGCCAGTGATTCATCCCAGACACCAAAATTCGTAGGTTGCTCCTATAAATACTGACCCCATGATTTTTAAACTTTACTCTCTCCCTCATAACATCTTCTCACATCCTCTTCTGTCAAATCCTAACCACTTAAACCCTTACAATGGCCCCAAAGCGAACCCGTACGTCTCATGGGTCTTCTTTTGCCAATCCCACACACTAGTACAAAAATTAGTTTTAAGATCAGAGTTTTAAGATTCATACGGAATTGATGCTTTTTAGGTCAAAACCGAATGAAGTCATTCGAAATCGGAGCCTTTTGAGTCAAAACCGAATGGAGTCATTCGGAGTTGATGCCTTTTGAGTTAAAACTGAATGGAGTCATTCGGAATTGATTCTTAGAAGGTAAATCCTTGGCCGAGTTGGTTACTCGGGAGGGAAACCTTGAGTGTTGATTTGAAGGTACATCCTTGGCCGAGTTGGTTACTCGGGAGGGAAACCTTGGTTGGGATTTGAAGGTACATCCTTGGCCGAGTTGATTACTCGGGAGGGAAACCTTGAGTGAGATTTGAAGGTACATCCTTGGCCGAGTTGGTTACTCGGGAGGGAAACCTTTTTCGAGTGCAGCTTTAAGTAACGAATGATAAGACTGAGCTGGAACTTTCATTTCATTGATATGTGCCTCGTTAAAAACCTTGTCGGCCAAAACCTCTTTTCACTTTTTTCTAAGAGGAGAAAAGACCGATCAAGGAAAAGAGTGCACTCTGTATGTATACATGGATCACTATCTTTACACAGAAAATTGCTAACTAAAATAAGCCTTCAAATGAGTTGAGTTCCACGTTCTTGGGATGATCTTTCCCGAAAGCTCCTCAAGCTTGTAGGCACCATTATCTAGAGAGTGACGGATTCTGAATGGGCCGTCCCAGTTAGCTGCCAATTTTCCTTCGCGGGGGTTGCGCCTTGCCGATCCTTGTACACGCCATACTAGGTCACCCTCCTTGAAACATCGCTTCGAAAGGGTGGAGTTGAAGCGCCGGGTCATTCTTTGCTTGCATGCTTCCGCCATTATACGCGCCTTGTCTCGGATCTCGTCTATGACATCAACTTCAACCCGAAGAGATGCATCGTTGCCTGCTTCGTCAAAATGTAAACGGCGGAAGGAAGGTTCCCCTACTTCCACCGGAATCATGGCCTCAGTACCGTATGTCAATCGGAACGGTGTTTCCTTTGTTGTGGATTGAGGTGTACATCTATAAGCCCACAAAACTTCTACTAGTTCTTCGGCCCAGGCGCCCTTAGAATCTCCCAAGCGCTTTTTCAACTCTGTTAAGATGACTTTATTTGCCGCCTCGGCTTGTCCGTTCGATTGAGGATGTTCAACCGATGTGAATCGGTGCCGTATGCCTAAGTCTTGGATGAACTTGTTCAACTTTTGATCTGTGAATTGGAGACCATTGTCGGTTACAATGGCATATGGTATACCGAAGCGCGTGACAATGTTCTTCCACAAAAACTTCTGCACCATACCAGCTGTGATCGTTGCTAACGGCTCGGCCTCAATCCACTTTGTGAAGTAATCGATTGCGACCAACAAAAATTTGCATTGGCCTTTGGCAAGGGGGAACGGACCGAGGATGTCCATC